ACTCTTAGTTATAAAAACTGAACATTTTATAATTTTTTAATTCCAACGATTGATAATTTTCGATATTTTGATAAATTTTGTCAAAATTCCAACTTTAAATGCTTATAAAAAAAAATCGTGCCTATGTATTTTTAATATTTTTCAACTGATATTGTAACAATATATCAGGAGCCTTGTATTAAATTTTTACACTTTTTGGCCCAACAGATAAAACTTTATTGATATTTATAGAAAAAAAAACTAAAAAAATTGAAAGCTGTAAATGTCCATAAACAGCTCAAAAAGAGTCAAAATATTTTCAAAATTGTATGGTGTATAGAAAATGCTAATTTAAACATTCAGTGAAATTTTCGTGTATCTACAGTTGTTCGTTTTTGAATTGCAACAAAATAAAGAAATCGCTACATGAGTAATCGAGTGAATATCCAATGTTGTAAAAATTTGAATTTCAAACGCTCATAAAACTTTAATTTGACTTTCCGGTAGAGATTTTTTTATTGATTAAGGTAGATAATCTTATAAGGAATCTTGTGTTTCATTTTCAAATCTTAGATTTAAAAAGAAAAATTTTTACGAATTCTTAACTCAAAATAATTTTCGTGATTTTTCCATATTTTGTCAATTTTTGAACTTTAAATGCTTATAAAAAAAAATTGTGACTAAGGATTTTTAATATTTTTCATCTGCCTTTGAACAACATATTAGGAGCCTTCTATTAAATTTTCAAGCTTTCGCAACCAACAAATAAAATTTTATTGATATTTTTAGAAAAAAAACTAAAAAAAAATGGAAAATGAAAATGTCCCTAAACAGTTCAAAATAAATCAAAATATTTTGAAAATGTTATCGTGTATAGAAAATGCAATTATAAAAAACCAGTGAAAATTTCATGTATATACGTTCATTTGTTTTAGAGTTACACCAATAACCAAAATCGATTTTTTGGAAAACCAATTTTGCGTAAAAATTCCCGTTTTTCCTTAATTTTTATATGTTGTTTTTCCCGGCGCTTGTGAAAACTACTGGGAAATTTAAATTTTGACCTCCCCAATGCACCAACGATATTCACTTTCCAATCGAACAAGATACTGAAGTCGAAAATCGAAGCATTATTTCGACTACTTATCGTGTACACAGACACAAAAATAAATAAACACACATCATTGTAAAACCAATATATTCATCGCTCCGCTCAGAATCTAAAAAAGTTTACTGGAAAGTTACATACATTTTTTATGAGCGTTTGAATCTAAAATGTGTGCTACATTGAATTTTCAATTTTCATCAGTAAATTAAGGAATTTTCATCTACCAATTTTTGGTATTATGTTGTAATTTAAAAACGAATAGGTAGTCCTAGATATTTGAAATTGTTATCAAATGTTAAAATTAAAATTGTCCTTAGATACATGGTAAAAACTAAAATGTTGAAACAATTTTGACTCTTTTTGAGCTATTTATAACTATGAGCAATTTTTCAAATATTTTTAATTATTTTTCAGTTAGAAATTCATATAAGATTTTCTTTTCATAGCTAAGATTAAAGATGTAAAAAATAGATTTTATATAAGTTTTTCTACCTATAAAAAAAAAGTATACTTAAACGGAACATTAATTTTTTATGAGCGTTTAAACTTATAATTGTTACGATATTCGATATTCTGCGGTAAATCGAATTCCTATTAATCGAATTTTTAGATTTTCTTGTATTTCCAAAATGAATAACCTTAGACTCTTGAAATGTTCAAAAAATATTTATAATAGCATTTTCTATACATAATACATCGTAAATTCTTCAAACAATTTCGACTCTTTATGAACTATTTATATCCATGAGTGACTTAGCCCCCCCCCCCAAATACTTCTTTAGCCCCCCCCCCCATATGGTGAGCGGTGACACGAAATTAGTTACAAATAAAATCATTGTTGATTGACATAATAAATATTAATAATTGTTTAAAATATAGTGTCACAGATTAATGTATGACATTTTTAAAATTGATAAGAATTTTCATTAAAATCCACAGATATATGTATGTTTAAATATCTGTGTTAAAATCTAAACGACGGCTGACGCTCTGATATCGCGGTTACATTCACGGTTATATATAATTTTTATAAATTAGAAAGCCTACAAATGGCAATGGCTATTGATAGTTTCACAAAAGTAAACTTTGATGAAAGTTCATTTTTCATAGACAACTACTGAACTACAAGGTAACAATTAGAATATTTAAATAATATAATAATATACCTAGTATATTATTAAAAAAAAAAATTGTTTTATTTTACTTTTTGTAGAAGCTATTTTGATGTTGTAACGCTTAAATAGGAAATGTAGTAGCTAAGAACTGTATTTTTCGTTTAAATAAACATAAAGATGTTGAGTTGGAAGATTTGAAGAAACTATTATTAGATAGATCTGTCTATCCCAATTTGTAGTCACTATTACAAGTAGCATTATCCATTCCTGTAAGTTCGGCTACGTGTGAACGGTCGTTCTCAGCAATGAGAAGAATTAAAACATGGCTTAGAACTTCTATGCACCAAGAGAGATTTACAAATCTCTCTTTAATACACAAATAAAGAGATATATTCAAATACAATTAGTACAAAAAATATTTTAGACGAATTTCCTAAAAAAGATCGTAGATTCTCTTTTTAATAATAAAATTCAATATTAATATCCAAATGTATTAATTTTTTTTGTTTTAATTGTTTAAGACATTTGAAAGTGTATTTCATTGTGTTTCTGGATGGGTGTATGGATCTTTTATTTTAAAAGGAGTATATCTAAACTAAACAAATTACTAATAATCGTAGTGTGTCAACTCAATGAAACATAATACAAAAATCCAGTAATACTTCAATAGATATGCTGAAGAGGGTGTGGGGGGCGAAGCCCCCCACGAGTTTATTTCATATACATTTCTCCAGCTCCCCCAAAGTAAAATCTTCAAATTGCGCCTATGATCTGTAGTCCTACAGAAGACAGAACGAAAAAAAATTGTACAACAATGCGAATAGTACACTGCAATTGCTTATCTGTACCTACTTTTGATTTAATTTTTTATATTACGCGGAAAGACCTAGGTAGTGGATTCATATTTTATAAGAACGAAAATTTCAGTTTAGTGCTTATCTATGTATGACTGTACTACTGTAGATAGATATATTATAGATAGGTGATAATTTAATTTAATGTTTTTAAATTATCTTACAGCATAACTCATAAGTGTCATCGGTGGGTGGCTTCTTAGCTCTTAATTTCATGTTTTTTATTGTGTCTCAAGCACTCTCAGCTCATACTCTTATTGTGCCGATTGTGTACAAATTGTGTATTAAGAAAAAAAAAAATTATCTTACAAGTTATAACATTGTATCATACATTATTTAATTATTGTTCATTTCGCCTCAATTGTGCCTGAAGCGCCTAAACAAATTTTTGTAAAAATACAATCCGTGACGAGATTATAAATATTTCAATATTAATAATAGACACACAAACAAAGTTACCACAATTGTTGCATTTATTTGAGTTTTGAGTGTCCTGCAAAACGAATTCAATTTTCTTGGTACTATTATTCAGTACAAATGTTTATAATAATAGTATCTTCAATCTTGTATCTTTTTTCCCAAAAGATACATGATACTGGTGTAAAATGTATCATGATACATGATACTTGATACTTCAAAATGTTGTATCATAATACAAGTTACAAGATAAAAAATTTCATACAATTTTTGTATCTTTGATATTTCCCAACCCTGCGTAACCATATACCCTTGTAAGTTGTAAAGATAAAATGTATAAATAGTAAATACAAGTGTCAATAGTCATGGCAATGTTCAATTTGGTGAAAATCAAGTTAAAACTAGTAGGTACACTAATTACCTTGCGACTGCCTCGGTACTTTATATAAAATAGCTTTAATTAATAATTAATATTTTGAACTACCTATTACCTAATTAGCATTTTGTTTTAAGATGATATTAGCGCACTATTTATTTCCTTCTCTGGGGCACTAGCCAATAATACTATAAATAAAATGTATTCAAACTTGAAATATGTAATGGTAATTGGTAATTTTCAAATTTTTTTAATTGTTCGTACCAACCCATTGCACATTTGAACATTTCAATAATTGATATTCTACAAATCTTCATTCTTGGTACAACTATAACTACAACTTACTATTCAGCTACCTAGGAACCTATCTGATATTCTGATATCAAACAAATGCAAATAAATTAGGTTAGTAGGTAGGTACCTACCTTAGAAGTGGCAGATAAGTTGTTGTATAGGCAGACAGTTCTTTTTGAACTTGTCTTAAATAATATTAATATTGGGAATTGTGATTTCTATTTGAAGGTGATCGTTTTTCGGAATACGTATTCGTGCAGTTTGAATTAATTATATTTCATGATAATAATACGTGTTGAAACTTCAAGGTCATAAGTTCGGCTCTTAGGTAGGTATAACTTATGATTATCACTCCATCATATTATACTAACTGCAGCCTGCAGGGTATATAGCTATTATTTTCATATTACATAATATAAGGTAGGTACATCGCATAGACAGCAGGCATCACGCTAAAATACTGTACCTAGCAGTTTCAGTTACCAGTATTTTTATGTCATTCAATAAGAACACACCTACGTGATAATATTATGTGAATCAAAAATTGTTTGAGCACAGACTTATTTAATACACATTATATATTATTATTTATTATAGTTACATTTAATACTTTTATGCAAACTTACATAATATTATAATACAATCTATATTTATTTTATCTGTTGGTTTTTTCTTTACTATGAATATAAATCTAATCTAAACGACTAAACATGATACGTATTAATTATTATTACAGAAATAAAATCTATAAATTCAGATAAATTTGTTTACCTAATATTTTATAAATCATAATTAAGGATTAATAAAAGCTGTACGCCCGATATTCGTGGGTGAATAAAGAAGTGAAGAAGGGCAAAATGAAGTCTATTTCGTTTGCCACCGTTGTTTTTTGTGCCTTAACAATCGCACAGACTAGGTCTTCGGAAATCCTGGTCATATTCCCGACGACCGCCCAGAGCCATTACCGAGTCGTCCGACCACTAATCCACAGCTTATTGGACCGCGGACACAAAATATTAGCCATCACGAATTTTCCGGATGCTGCGGAAAGAGCCAATTTATCACACATCGACATTTCCGGGTTAAAACCACACTCGAAATTCAAAACCAACAACAATGGAATAATTAACACAATGAAGCGCGTAATCACAAACTTCAACACATACGCGACTATTCTCAATCATCCGACGGTTGCGAAACTCCTAGAGTCTCGTCAAAAATTCGACTTGGTGATTGCTGAATTTTTTACATCTACACCAATATTTGCACCGATCGCCACAGTTGTGGACGCACCGATTGTTGGATTTTGTCCAATGATTACATTTCCGTGGATAAACGAGGTGATGGGAATGGAGACGACCATGTCTTATATGCCTAGTCTTCTCAGTAACTCAACGGACAGTATGCCATTTTTCCAGCGAATAGGTAATACTGTGAAATGGTTATTCATCGAAATCTTGTTTAATTGGATGAACACCCCCATAGTTCGACAAATTAATAAAAATCATTACGGGATACAAACGGAATCAGTAATAAAAACGATGGCTAACTTAAGCATGATTATGACAAACAATTATCATAGCATGTTTTTACCCTTTCCCAAACTGCCCGGAATCATTGAGGTCGGTGGTATTCATGTAGTCGACCCAAAACCTGTTCCTCAAGTAATTACAAAACATTCAAAAATATATTATTGATAACTTAAAAATGTAATTACATACTTCAATGTTTGTCTGTTGATGCATATACTCAGGACTTGAACGATTTCATAAATGGTGCCGAACATGGTGTGATCTTATTCAGCTTGGGCTCTGTCGTGTCGGAAGAATCGTTGGGCGCTGATAAACTGAATAACATACTCGATGCATTTTTGAGACTTAAACAAAGAGTCATAATGAAGTTTGATGCTGACAAATACAAAATACAGTTACCAGTGAATGTAAAAGTAGTTAAATGGTTTCCACAGCGAGATCTACTAGGTTGATAGACAAATACTATATTAACTAAATAAGCAAAATAATTTTAAAAAATGTTTTTTAGCACACCCAAAGGTATTACTATTTATATCACATGCTGGTATGATGAGCACAATCGAAACAATACACTGTGGTAAACCGATGGTAGCTATACCGATATTCGGCGATCAAATATTTAATACCAAATTGTTGGTTGAAAAACAAGTGGCTGTCGCTATAGAATACAAACATTTAGAGAGTGACCAGCTTTTCGATGCTATTAATGAAGCATTGACCGAGAAATATGCGTATGGATATCGAATTCTTTAGTCCTTACTTGATTTAATTTTTAAACTAGATTACTAAATTTGATGTTTAATTTCAGGATTAAAGCGAAAAGACTGCAACAGTTATATAATGATCGACCACATTCACCTCTTGAAACAGCAGTTTACTGGACCGAGTATGTAATAAGAAATAAAAACGAATCGAAAGAACTATTAAAAAGTCAAAAGGTTCACTTAAATTTTTATCAATCGAATTTAATTGATATATCTGCTGCTTTTCTCATCCCACTTATTATGACGATATATATTATACAATGGACAATGAAACGTCTAAGGAAGCATTAAGTGAATTATCAATGATTGTTGTAAAGGGGTGTAATTGTTCCATTTGTTCATTTTTTATACACGATTTAAATTTTATTTCATATCTATTCTAGACTTTTCGTTTATTTTAAATGAAAAATGCACTCAGACATTTTTTACAACTACTATAGAATATTAATTTACTAAATAAAAAAAATAATCACATAAAAATATAGAATTTTTCTTCTTGTTATACCTACATAGTAAATTATATGACCATTTATATTAAGCCCAGTAACTAGTAAGAACATTTGGTTAGTTGATATTTGAACAGACTCCAGAGTTTTGAAATGGGTACCGCCTTACTACCTTTCCTACTCGTCCTGCACCCCCGTATATTTTGGTAAATTGGTTGTTACTTTTTATGATTGTACAGTGTTCACCGAGGTCTGAGAACAAAAAACTTATAAATAAATCAATATATACGTTTATATATTGATTATAGAACTATAAAAATACAATATAACAATGATTTAAATAATTAATTATACCAACGGATTGTGAGACACAGTCGCTACAGTAGTTGTAGCCTGTAGGGTCCTAGTTAGGTACACTAAAAAAATTCTGAACTTCACCACTTTACGCAGCCACGGAGTACCTACCTTTTTCTAAGGAATTTTTTTTTTCAAAATTTATTTATATTTATTTTACCTACTTAGTCGGTTGAAAAAATGCCTATTGACATTAGGTAGACCAGGGGTCTCCAAACTACGGCCCGCGAACAAGTTTTAACCGGCCCGTGGCCCGCATAGGTAAATTTAGATAAAAAAATTATTTCAAAAACGTATTTATATTATATTATATTTTTATTTAAGTATATTGTAAAGTAAACAATATTTTATACAAAAATATAAAGTAAACATATTATTTATATAGGTAAGTACCTAATATATTATCATAAAATTAAAAATTATATGTGTTAATAAACTTTTGGCCCGCTAAGAGCATTTGATTTTTTTTTGTGGCCCTTGAATAAAAAAGTTTGGAGACCCCTGAGGTAGAACATTCTAAGATGGGAAGACAGAATAAAAAAGGATGTAGAAACTGTAGTACCGAACAGACGCTGCAGAGAGTTGTCAATGGAATAATAGTTGATAGAGGGATGGCGGAAAAAAGGCCAAAACCCCTACACTACAAGAAGAAGAAGATTACCCATTATTAATACTGATTACTATTAGCAGGTACCTATAATAGGTTGAAACTTGAACTATTTTTAACAAAAATATCATAGGTATATTAAATTATATAAGTAGGTAAAAGTCAGTAATTTTGTTCAACTTGACATAATCGTATTATGTATATCTCAGCCAAGGTGTTAAAAATTACTCTCAGAGATTTAAACTTTCAAGTCTTAAATATTTCCACTTTCTACTATAATTTTATCAGCATTATATGTATAAATTTATTGTAATATGAGGGAAAAACATTCTTTTAGAAATTTTGAACTTCACACTAATAAAAAAAATTGTTTCAATTTAAATTCAAAATTTTGTAATTGCTAAAGGACAATTTATGAGGACACTTAATAGTTGTATTATATTTCAACTATTTTTACCATTAAAAACACCCATGTCATGGAAAACCAATACATTTTTTCGTTCAGTTCAAAATATAAAGGTACGAGGACAGTAAAATTTTACCTTTCCAAACATATTACAATCAAAAAGATAGTATATTTTTTTATATATTTATTCAATATTTTGTACAAAATAATAAATAACAATAAAAATAAAAAATAGGATTCTTCCACGCATGAAACAATATTATTACAATTTTTTTAAATAAAATCCTAATTATTATGAACTGTTTTTATGTATAAAATATTATGATACTTAGTACATATTAAATATACTATTTTATAGGCCTAAATAAAATATTCTAAACTCGAGAACAAATATTAAATCATTATTAATTAATTTATATGTATAAATATAATATTGCTTACTTTTTATTGTTTAAGCTAATATGTATACTGATACTGATTGGGAATCAATTTACAAATATACACATCAAAAGGGTAGTTAGGCAGTTTTAGCATATTATGACAATTTTGTTCAGTACACATTACAAATTATAATTATAATATTATAAACAATTGTGAATAATTCAGTATTTTATTAGGCCAGTCCTCTCAAAGAGTAGTTATATATTAAAATGAACATCTTAGTTTAAATATTGATGTTCATTTTTACATTTAACAATAAGTAATGTACTCAATTTGTACGTTTGGAATTTCTTTTAGTCCTAAGCTTCTTTTAAATTGAATAATGATAATATATATTAAGTATAATATTCTGTTATACTTTGGTATCATTGTTTAAAATTTGATGTGAGCCAAGCGAGTCCTTCATGTAATCCATCTCCTGTGGTAGCACACGATGGTTGAACATACCAATTTCTATCTCGTATTCTTGTTAGTCCAAGTTTTTCTTGTATTTCGTGTGGTTTCATTGCTAAAAAATAATCCATTAAATCAGGATGAGTTTCAAATTGAAAAAGTATTAGAATAGGTAATACCATTGGTCAAGTCTTGTTTGTTGGCAAATATTAAAATTATTGCATCCCTCATCTCTCTGTCATTTATTATCCGATGCAACTCTTGCTTAGCTTCATCTATACGATCACGATCTGCACAATCCACTACAAAGATCAAACCTTGTGTGCCTGTATAGTAGTGTCGCCATAGTGGACGTATTTTGTCTTGACCCCCGACGTCCTATGAAATATTAAATTTACTATTTATTATTATTTTCATACTTGTATTTATATACAACTAATAACATAATAACTTACCCAAACATTAATTTTCACGTTTTTGTAAATCACTGTTTCTACATTGAAGCCAACTGTTGGTATTGTCGTCACGGATTGACCCAATTTCAATTTGTACAAGATAGCTAATATATTTGAATAGGAAAAATTTCTATTTTAAAGTTATTTAACATCTATAAATAAGATGAAAAAAACTTTTTTAAACCAAGGTATTACAGAATAATTGTATAATCAGTTATATATAAAAATAGAGCAATTACAAAATACCTCTAAATTAAACCATTAGTTCTCCAAACAAACATGATTTCTGACTCACAATTTTGTAACAGCTTTAGACCAAAATATATTATGGAGCCCTTATACTTATTCCATTAATTCACGAGATCAAGTCCACGAGAAAAGTATTGCATAACCATATTTCTGCTTTTGAATATGTAGAATTGAAATAATTGTCAAATTAATTTTCAAGCACATATGCAAGATGTTTACAAATTTGTGTTTGTGGAACTGGACGGACATATTATTTTTTGAATGTTTGTTAATACGTAATAATTGTAATATAAGTTTGGAATATAAAAATAATGACTGGTTTGTCTCATTGTTATCTTTCAAGTGGTGGAATGTAGGCAAAAAATTAATATTGTTATCTTAAAAACATTACCGGAAACTGTATAGAAATATTAACAACCGTTCGTGTATACCTACAAAAATAATAAATTTCACTTAAAAACATCACAATAAAAATGTACAATATAAAAAAACTCACAGCCACCCCATGGACCCCCGAGTAACTATCTACTACGTGGTATCACTGGTTAAGAACTTATGACTTATGGCATAAAACCAGTTTTTACTTTTTATTTGAGGTATCACTAATATTCTATTGATAAGTATGTTAATAATATTGAGTTATCTAAATTGAAATTCTGACGAGTACTCTGATTAGCTCATGCATTTTAATTGCTATTATAAAATAGAACATTGTTAAGTATGAATTGTAAATGAAGTATTACACATCTTACGAACGTGTTTCAACATTTAAAACATGGATAAATATAACAAAATAATATGTTTAGTTGAAGCTACAAGGAAGTGCTAATATAACATTACAATGAATAACCTAAATTAGTTATGATTTTTTTTTTTAAAGATATGTAATTTAAAAAAAAAATAAATAGTGTTTTTAACATAATTTTATTTTGACAACTGTCCAATATTGAAAAGAAACTATATTAGGTATTAAAATTGTTGAATATATTTTGTAAGAAGCTAATATATGATTTAGATTTTCTATTATTAAATCACCTAACATAAATAATTTATTTATAAGCTATGAATCTTGTTTTTTAATAAAAGGATACTTGTTTTTCCAGCTGCATCCAAACCCAGCATAAGTATTCTCATCTCTTTGTTACCAAAAATTTTGGAAAGCAGCTTTCCCATAGTGATGGATTATCTGAAAATTAAAGCAAAAAAATATATTATCAATTATAAATGTACCTAATTATTTATAATTAAATCAACACTAAAAGTGTAAAATATAGATTTTAATAGGTAATTGATATTATTATCAGGCGTGGCTACAAACTTGGGGCACTAGTCAATGAAGGTTTAAATAATAATATGTTGTATATTAGTAGGTACCTAATTGTAAGTTGTAACAGTTCTTATATTAATTTACCTTTTTTTTAATTGCAAATGTTTTACCAGTATTTTACTCAACTAGGTAGGTTCATTGTAGATAAACATTTTACATAGATCCCCAAAAGACATTTTTATTAGTTTTGTTTAATCATAATTATGGTGAAGAAAAAAATGTAGATATGAAGACAACAAGACAAGGGAGTGTTAACACCCGTAACAGGAGAATGTAATTTTCAAGCAGTTATCTCATCATATCAGCGACACCTCCAATGAAAAAAAGATACCTTAAATGGCTTAAAGTAACTATTGATGTAAAACTTATGGATTTATGGATGGAGTATATATACAAATCTGTTAACCAACATAACTAATACTGCTAATACCCTTGTTAATCACAACATGGCATCTCTTTACACTTTTGTTTAAATGTATTAGTTTATTTATCACTCAGAAGCTTTTGTGCGAGTGAGAACCAACGTCTCTGTCTTTGGTAAGTTGGCTAATTACCTTATGTTTAGTGAGGATAGTAAATCCATATGTTTAATAATTAATACCTTAAACCAAATTATTAATATAGATGGGCGCATTTGGAATAAAAATCTTAACAGAGCTTATTATTCTAAAGCAAGAGAGTTACGCCTACATTCCATGTATTTAGGTACTTATAATATAAAAAAAGATATTTATTAAAATCAATGTACATATTAGAGTTGAATTATATATTTATTCTACGCAAATTAGTTATTAGCTGTAAAGTTATTTAGTTGTAAAACAGTAAACCTATACACATTTGAGATAAAAATAAAAATATGTTTCCTTAATAATAGATTAAATAGGTTAGTTATAGATTTATAGATTTTAATATGTATCTAGGTTAACATTTTGTGTTCCATAAAAATCTTAGTTTTTTAGTTAATAATAGGTAGGTAACTATTAAATTGTTATTGATAATAAAACTAATTGGACAATATGTAGATACCTAACAGCATTTTAACAATAATTCAACATTTAAAAACAAATGTAGACAGCCTTGAACGATTATTAATGTATTTAGGACATTCAAATCATTCTAAAATACATGGCACCATACATATATTATTCTATTATTTTGGAGAGAAAATATAATAAAAGTTTTGATGACATGCATCCAAGTGCCAAAACCAACAAGCATGTTGAAAAAAGAAAAAACGGAAACATTTACCCTTAATAGGAACAATTTCACACCATAAATGCTCAGCAACTAGTGGTCAAAAGGCCAAAGTTACGAAACGTACCCAAAAGGCTTATAAATATATAATATCCACAGTAGTGGACAGTAGTGTTATGATGTGCACGTTTTACAGGCACAGTTTTTTACATACCAGTGAACATTTACAATGGACCGATGGCAGCGGGCAGCGAATGTTCAGGACAAATATTGATGTGCGGGCTCAATTACTGTCGCGTTACGATTTTCGGTCATCTCGCTCAGTGTCACAGCAGTGGGACGGCGGCGGCGGCGATATTTGGTTTTTGATTTTACGTTACCGACGAGTACGTGAGAGATTTCAATTTTCAATATTCAATAACTTTCAGACGGACACCCGTGTTTGATATCACTGGACTACGCGATATTTTATCGGGTACCGCACGATATACAATATAGTGCGTGCAATGCGCGATAACGGAATCAACGGGTTTGGGGCGCAAACGTCGTCGTCCGGCAATAATAGCGCATTTGCCGTAGTCGGCGGTGACGGACTATGATCCACAGGAGCGGAGGAATGATTAATCTAAATATCTAATAACAAAAAAGTCGTGAACGGGAGGAACAAAAACACGGTGACGAGTCCAAAACAACGGCGAGCCCGACAACGGGTGATAAGATGGAAAAACGGAACGCGTTCGATTTTACGTTTGTCGCCGTCTTCTTTTTGTTTTCGATATTTTTACTCGTTTTTTTCTATCACTATTCACTGTGAATACTGTGAATTTGTGATATTGTGTATTATTATTGTGTATGTCGTATGTGTGTTACCGGAGCGAAAGACTGCTGCGGCGGCGGCGGATGTTCAGTACGCCGTGCGGACAAGTGGGGTGTGCCGTGGTGGGGCCAGCGTAGAGGGGGACGTATTCGAGCGATAACGAACAAAAACGAACACGGCGATGAACGTATAGGCACGTCGTCGCGCGTCGTCGTCACCGCGGCCCGCGTACACGCAAGACGCAACGGCTACTCCGGCAAACTATGACACCGACCGCCGATAATGGAACAAATATATTATTATGATTGTCGCGTGATCCGCGAGCGCTCTGTATATGCTGTGAATAATAATATAACAGAACGAAATTAATATAATATTATTTATTATTTATAATTAGTAATCACCGTACACTGTACAGACCACAGAGTACTGAGTGTAGAATTAGTGTACACAGCTGTTGTTGCTGCATCGGCTTTCGACGATCCATGACAATTGACAAAATAGATTAATTCTATAAATACAAATTACTAATAATTAAATTTATTTTGTCGTGTGGCAAATGGCAATCGACAAGTTGGCTATCGGCATTCTTCATGTTGTAATTATTCAAAAAAGTTGTAACAACACAAAAAAAAAAAATTATAATCACACGCTTACCTACATGATGTTTTCGTTATTTTTAATTTTTAATTCATAATATTATATGTATACAAGGTGGGGCAAGTTAATGAGAATATTTAACTGTGACAAGTTAAGTTAATTCAATTAAATTACCATTGAAAGTTAACAAAGAAAAAATTTAACTCGATAAGTTAGTAACTTTAGTTAAGTTTGAAAATAAAAGTAATCTTAACTTAGTTAATTTTTTTTAAGCTACACTATTTTTAAATCATAATAAGTGCCCTACTGCCCTAGTAATTTAATTTACACAAACATTTACCAAGATGTTTAACACTGGCAAACTCAGATTTTTGCAGGGATGGAAAACGTTTTTGATTAACGTTTTTAAAAACGTTATTTTCCTATTGTTTCCAAATAACGTTTTTGATAATATTGTTTTTTTTTTGTATATATATAAATATATAATACCTATATTATATACTTATAATTTTTAACTTTTAAGTTATAATAGTAACGCACAGTATAGAAATGCACTTAAAAGTTAAAAATTAAAATAAATTATTCTTAATATTTACATTTTTAATCAGAATTTCTGATTCAAAATTAAATTGTTTTTAAATTTTAAACGTGCATTGGTAAAGATTAAAAAGTAAAGACTTAAGTGAAATTTTTTCCAAATTTCTTTTTTCGAGGTATAAATAATTTAATAATGTATTATATCATAATTTATTTTCGTTTTTGATTTCGTTATTAATTTTTTTTTGGTTTTTGGGATTCTTTGTTATCGTTTTTCAGTTGTTTTAGATTCTGAGTGAAACGATGAATGTATTGATTTAACAATGATGTGTGTTTTTTTTTTAATTTTTAATATTTGTGTCTGTGTACACGATAAGTAGTCGAAATAATGCTTCAATTTTCAACCTCAGTATATTGTTCGATTGGAAAGTGAATATCGTTGGTACTTGGTGCATTGGGGAGGTCAAAATTTAAAATTCCCAGTAATTTTCAAAATTTTATAAATATCAATAAAGTTTTATCTGTTGGGCCAAAAATTGTAAAAATTTAATACAAGGCTCTTGATTTATTGTTACAACATCAGTTGAAAAATATTAAAAATACATAGGCACAATTTATTTTCGTAAGCATTTAAAGATCGAATTTTGACAAAATTTATCAAATTTAAAATTGAATTATTATTTTGTAGTTAAAAATTTATAAAATGTTCAATTTTTATATCTAAGGATAGAAAATGTATACAAAGATTCCTCGTAAGTAGTTAATTCTGTTTAAAAAAAAATCTAAATAATAAATAAGCACAGTTTATTTTTATAGTCATTTTAAGTTCAAATTTGGACGAAATTACATAAAAAAAACCTAGAATAACTATTTTAGTTATTTTGTTGTGATTGTATAATATTATTCGTGGGTACTTGAAACTTCTAAAGTAGGTACACTATTATATATCTATGATAGTATCAGGGTTTGTTTTTGATGTATAACGCATTATAAGTACCTAATGGATATTGTGATATGGTTAATTTGGAATTTATTATAGGTAAATTTTTTTTAATGCCATAGATAAGTATATAATATGTCTTATACCTAGACTGACATACCATCTCCGCTCAGAATCGTTTTTCTTATACAATGATGTTATATCATTGAATTCAAATTTAATACCATCCAATATGCAGTGACCCACTTGTAACCTACTGTACAGCAGAGCACCTTTTTTTTGTTTTTGTTTTATTAATTGTTTTCGTGTTTTGTTTTTTTTTTCGTTTAATGACGTTTTTTAAAAACGTTTTCCATCCCTGGATTATTGTGATATATTATTAAAAAATAAATAACTAAAATCGAAAAGAAGTCAAGAAACCACTATTGTCTGTTGGCACTTGGCACTGCAGATACGGTTATACGAATAAATTAACACCATAATGATATATTATAATTATATTATATTATTTGATATAATTATATTTATTATGATTTATGTTATTATATTATTATAATTTTCCATTGTACGACAACCGAAGTTATTATGTTTATTGCTTATAAATGATTATAATTGTCGGGCACATGGTTCAGAAATGTTTATAATATTATTTATCGTCGTTATTACTTATTGGTTGGTATTACTTTTCATGACCGGTGGTAAGGAAAATTGAGCCCTGGGAAAATATAATATGAACCCTGGCCCCCCACACACACAAC